AGAACAGAGAAAAAACAAATATACTTTGATGACCAGACTCCTAATAGACTTTGATGTAGCAGGCATACTCAACTTTTACCTGCCTCATTTAACCTACAGAATTAACTTTTATTTATGAATTAAGCTGACTTCCATGAATCTTTAAAAAAAATCGTATGACAAATACTGATTGTAGTAGTTCCATTAAGCTTAAAGTCCCTAATACAGTTTTTTTTTTTTTTAAAGATTTTATTTATTTATTCATGAGAGACAGAGAGAGAGAGGCAGAGGGAGAAGCAGGCTCCCAAGGAGCAGGGAGCCCGATGCGGGACTCGATCACAGGACGCTGGGATCATGACCTGAGCCGAAGGCAGACGCTTCACCATCTGAGCCACCCAGACGCCCTATAGTTTGTTTTTTTTTTAAACTGGCATTTCTCCCTACCAGTTTAATATATTTTTATAAAGTTGAAGGCAAATCCTGGCTCAATAATACTATCCACGAATGAACCTTTAGCCTATCCACACCTTAACTGACTAAAGTCCTTGAACATTAACAGCCTCATATGGGACCTGAGCCCCACCCATATTTGGCAAACAATAGTGGTATATAAGGGCAGTTAAGACATTTCTGGAACGATCACTCATTATTCTCTTGGACTAGATCTCTCCTCATGAAATCAGTAAGACTACAAACTGTTTTCTTATTAGCTTAATTAAATGTGTCATATGAAAATCCCTCTTGTCAAGTGAAGACATGGATAGATATTTGATAAAGCAGATATAGTAATATTTTAATGATAGAACCAAGGTCGTGAATATAGATGTTCACTGTACAATCCTTTTTTTATATTTGAAAGTTTTAAAAAATATTTGTTATGCATTCTACAAATATTACTGACTCCTTACTATATACCGGGCACTGGTATATGCTGAAAAAGGACCTTCCAGTTTAATGCAACAATTCTGCAGAACTGGCTTCTACTAGACTCGGAACCCAAAGCAGAGAACCAGACACTCTTTCAGTCGAAACTGGAAAACCCCTATGAGGCTACCTAGCCTGAAAAGGACCCAGTTATGTGCCTGGGGATTGAACCAATCAAAGACGGCCAAATGAATCTGAAAGCCAATCAGGAAGCACCCTGCCCACTACCCATTCCCCCCACCTCCATATCACTTCCAAAAACCCCACCCTAAGTGAAAGTCCCTCCCAAATAGGACATTGGCCAATCAAAGACTGTCTTGAGACTTCCTCCTTTTTCTCTGTAAAACCCACTGTCCTTTTAAATCCTTGTGAGTCTCTAGCAGAAGGAATGCAGCAGTAGCTAACTCCCTTACCGTAGTCAACTCTGGATAAACAGACTTGGATGAACTCTATCATGGCCTTCAACTTTCTGATAATCCTCAACTACCATCATCTACGTGGTTAGTTAAAATCCCTTGTGACAATTCTTAAATAACAAATATCATACCTATATTTGTTTTCCCTCATAATTCCCCTCTTCTCTGTATTGTTTTTAAGAGAGAAGAGGATACCAGTAGCTTCACCAGAATGGGCAAGGTATCTCCTTCAGAGCATCTTGCTTGGGAAGGTCATCTGTAATGTCTGTCTCTGGGGGAAAATGCTGAGAATCCCTGAGTATTCAACTTTAACTCTGCATCAGTGTGTTAGTAAATGCTTTGCCCTCCCCATAGTAAAGGACAAGGAAGTGTGAACAGTAATGGTTGTCTGTGGGCTGCATATTTATGAAATAGTAGCCTGAATAATCATGACTGAGTCACTCCAGCAGACTCAATAGAAAATTATTGCAATTGTCCATCTGCCTTTATTCAATCTTTCCACTCCCATCCGACCAAACACTGAAATACTCATCCTGCAAGAGTAATTCAAGCCTCACCTCATACATGATGCCTTCTCTTGTCATGCCAAATCAGATGGATTAACCTCTCCATAAAATACTCATAGTTATAAGCCTTAGAAAGAAGGAAAGAAAGGGAGGAGAAGAGGGAGAGAGAGAGAAAGAGAGACATGGAGGGAGGGACACAGGGAGGAAGAAGATAAACCTGTTTTATAGTCTTGTGGAAAATGGAGAAGATCCAGGATTCTTGCAAGGACATAACCTTAACATTTTGCTTTTTTTTTTTTTTTTAAGATTTTATTTATTAGAGAGAGAGAGAGAAACAGAGGGAGAGGGACAAGCAGACTCCACACTGAAGCTGATGCATGGCTCGATCTCAGGACCCCAAGATCATGACCTGAGCCAAAACCAAGAGCCGGACACTTAACTGACTGAGCCACCCAGGCACCCCTCAACATTTTACTTGCAAAGGTGACAGTCAGAATGACAAATAACACTGTTCTGTTTCTTTCTCCTTCACAGCCATCACATTTCTCAGCTATTACCCAGAATTGTTGCTGCTCTTCATATATACTTTCCCTCCAATTTCCTCAAAGAGACTCATGAACTATCAGTCAATTCTGAATCAACAAAGCTTCTACAAAAGGGAAGCCCTAGCCATGTAATGCAATAGCCCTTTCTGTCATTTGTCAAAGGGGATGTTGGAGTTTCACTACTGGTATGAGATTATAAAATCTAATAGGAAAGGTCAGCCTAATACAAGCCAACAGCTTTCTGACACGTTATTTAGAACTGGCTGATGTGTGGGATTGTGAATGCCTCATCTCTGGATGTCTACGTGCAGAACCCAGATAAGGTCCTCTAGGGATCCCCCAGGTGGGAAGTTAGGAAAGGTGACTCCTTTAAGTCTTGCTAACTTGAAAATTCAAATAAGATTTCTAAGACAAAACTTAAATAGGGTCGGGAGAGGGTGGAAGGAAAGAATAAGGAGGGAAAAAGGAGGGAAAAAATGGTCCAATTTGTATTATGGTTGGAAAAGTCTGACTCGGTACTGGGTCCATCAGCATGGAATGCATGTTACACTTTGGGCGCCTGGGATTTGCAATGTGGTCAGCCTGGGCTACAGCATTTCTCTGGCTCTGTTAAGTACATTGCTGAGCTGCTGTCTCTGACACCATAAAAGTGTTCCTACAGGGGCGCCTGGGTGGCTCAGTCATAAGCGTTTGCCTTCGGCTCAGGTCATGGTCCCAGGGTCCTGGAATCAAGCCCCACATCGGGCTCCCTGCTCCGCGGGAAGCCTGCTTCTCCCTCTCCCACTCCCCCTGCTTGTGTTCCCTCTCTCACTGTGTCTCTCTCTGTCATATAAATAAATAAAATCTTAAAAAAAAAGAGTGTTCCTACAGACCCAGATAGATGGTTGGGTTGGGCACAGCAGAAAATGCGCCACTGATGACTCAGAAGCTACTCCTCAGCCTGAGGCTCAAAGCACCTCCAGGTCTAGTCAGCATTGGAGGGGCTGGTTCCAAAGGGGAAGCTAGAGTGCTGGGACTGTGCAGGGAGCACAGCAGTCCTGAGATGAGTCCTAGACCCCTCTAACAATCGAATGAATTTGGCCTTTGCAGAACTCATTTCATCACCCCAATGAACCTTCACTTCCTCATCAAGAAACAGAAATATATGTAAAATTGTGCACATAAATTAGAAAACAGAGCAAACACGAATGAGAAGGCTACTACTGCTTACTTGCAAAAGAAAAGAAAATGGTGAATTCTTTTTTGATAGCTGATCACGTTCACCTGCACTCACGATGGCAAGAGACATTGAAAGCAATGTCTGACAGGTAGAATCACAGACGCCATGGTTTGCCAATGATGACGGGTGTGGCGCAGGTTGCTAGTTGCTTAGAAAATGATCACTTCCTTATTTCATCCTCCTTAAGAGAATGTCCACTTTTCCAGCAACATCAGTGTGTTTGGCTAAGAAACTCTACTCACCAGACTCCCTTGCAACTAACAGTGGCTGTGGGACACGGTTCACGGCAACAAGATGCACATTTCCTAAGATTTCTGGGAATGTCCCAAGTCCCAATAGAGTCATTTATCCCTCCTTCCTTGTCTTTCTTTGTGTTCCTGGAATGCTGACCTCATTCTTAGGTGCTCAGCAGTTCTGCTTGAAGGACAGCAGAGCAGAAAGTCAACATGAGCCTGACCCTGGAGCAGCACCCTGTACCCCGAAATGACTGCCCCCAAACTCTTTGCAAGAAAAAGTAAACCTTTTATTTCTTTCAACAGTATCAGGGCTTCTCAGTGAAATCCATCCCAAGTAGACAGTATCAATCAAGAAACACCAAAGTTTTCCAAAGTTCTTTGGGTTTTATCGATATCAAGTTGTTCCCTGTGTTTTCAGATCAAGGAGATCATGCTCAGAACAATGTGCTGGTAACCTTCACACATCATTACAACAACCTGACCACACTCAAGGTTTGGGGTCCTGTCATCTTGGTGATAAAGTCTGACTGTAAAGACAGTCAAACTTCATCTCACTTCTCTTCCAAGGTAAACTGCTGAATTGCACATCTTACTGAATACAATAAAAACAAAGATACATGTCCGTGAAAATGATGCCAGTAGATGTTTTCTATATTCCTGCCAATGGGAAACTCTTCTAGAAATAGTACATAGAGTTGGTTGTATTACACATTGCCTTACTACAAGGTCATCCCATGCCATTCTCCAACTATTTAGAGCCCAAAAAAAGACAAATTTTAATATAAATTCTAGGAAATTAAAAAAATAATTTAAAAGGAGAGATCCATCTATTTCAGAGGATTCCAACTATTAATGGACCTAGGCCAACCATGTTGTGAACAGAAAACTTACAGTCCAGGCACCTTTGGTCATTCAGAGCCTAGAAATAAAATTGTTCACACCCAGTTCCTAGAATTAGAACTGCTTCCCCTTTAACTGTTCATCCAGTATTTATAAAATCAGCAGTATTAATGACTGCATGCTGCCTTCACAAGGCAGTTGTAAGAAACAGACCAACACTCACGCAGCTTTCCCCTTGATTCCTCAGCTTGCACAAGTCACGGTGCTTTACTGGGTAAACTTGAAAGCAATGTAAATAGACCCATTCCATCCACTCATGCACAGAAGCTGATTACCTTTTAAGAATAGTGTAACAAAGTTTGGACCTCCATTCTTCCATCCTCGATGGGATGCATCAGCTGTCCTGATGGTAAGTTTGTCAGAGTTCATTCCCAAGATTGTGGTATGCTGTTGGCAGGCAATGACTTCTGTGAGCAGAACAGAAGGGAGAGAAAGAAAAAGAACTTGTTAGTGGTGACAAACACTTTGGTTGGTCACTCCTCATCCCTTCTCCTTGCCCACCTCCCAATGTAGATACTGAAAAAGCAAAATACTCCTTTTTGCAGCCTCCCTTGCTGCTCAGAGAGGGTAGGAGACCCTCTTCTGCCCAAATAGATGTGAGATAGAGGGACTCTGGGGACAGATTTTTGTTCCTGCATAAAAAGAGACAGGTATATGAGAAGAGCTTTCTCTTGCCATCTTGATGGACCCCCTACTTCTGCACTCATACAATGCCTTGTGAAGACTTGCTGTCAGTATGGCAACCATTTGGTGACCAGGAAGCATCAAACCTAAGGATAAAAACTAAACATACTAGAGGTTGGAGCAGAAGGAAAGAAAGAGCGTGGGACCCACATGATATTGTCCCTAGCCACTCTCAGAACACCTTCCTCTAAACATCTTATTAAATTTACAGTAAAGTCCTTTCTTAAAAGGTAGATTGTTCCACTCTGCTCTAGTATTCTACATCTAAAAGGACACATATTGACTCAGATTAAGCATCAGGACCTATAAAATTATAGGGATTCTAAAAATATAACACAAAAGTAACTCAAGAACAATGCATCAGTAACAGCCAAGTCCATGAATAACCAGTCTACCACAGCTTGTTAGTTCATGGAAATATTTACCTGGCAGAGTTTGAAGCAACTGGAACAACTCCAGGGCTCCTCAGCCTCCAGGTCAATTTAGAATGAATGCCAGACTTCTTTGGAAGGAATTTCAAAACGCCCCCTTCATTGAGAAAGTACTTACTTGTCCTACAGGCACAGCCACAAAGGCCAAGGAAATCATGAGAACTGTTTTCTGTATATATATGGCAAACACCTCTGGACAGATTGACAATTTCACTTTGTTTTTAATAATAATGAAGCTTTGCCATTTCCTGCTGGGGAGGTGGAGGGATAAAGGATAATTATTGCCGTTTTTTGAAAGGAAAAGCTACAAATAACATGAAATTAGGTGATTCCCTATAAACCACAGTCAAAATGTAGCCCCAGGTAGAGATAGCCAGTGAGCCGGCAGAGGTCAGAATCCAGAAACTTCAAATCTCAGTCTAGCTTCTGTCCCGCAGGGACCCTCTTTCCTGATGACATAGCAGATGCTGTGGTGAGTCACTCCGTTCCTTGCACCTTCCAGAAGCTGGGCCAGGATACAGAGAGAACACAGATTAAAAAGGCAAATCAAACCAGCTCATTCAAATAATTGTAATTAAAGTACCCTAGTGATTTTTTACTCTCAAACATTTAGAATAAAAAGGACCTGAGAAAAAAATATAAAGAAGGCACCACTATAAAAGAATATATGAGAACATTAAAAGTCAGAGTGACTTTCAAATAGTGCTACAAAGTAAGCAAAGATGGAGTAACTAGAAGTAGCAGAGAGAGAAGAAATGTTCTAGAAATACATTTATTATTCACGAGTTAACTGGGGCTAAGTCAGCATTTTATTTTCACTTGATAATAAGGCATGCTATGACTTTTTCAAAATAATGTGAGGTGGCTTGAAATAATCTGCATAAACTATAGGGCCTTTAGAATATAAATAATACTGCTTGAGTGCAAACGCTTGCCCAGCGTCATGCTAGCTTTGTGATTTAATCTCTCATTGTCCTGGCCTTGCTGATCAAGTTTACTATGGGAGCAATAATGGCACCAAGTTCAAAGCATTCTTACTTCATTTAGGTGGGGAAGCTGAGAGAACACCAAGCAGGATAAACGCCCAAAAAACTACATTTCATATATCGTTTTCAGATGACAGAAAATCACAAATTAAAAAAAAAAAAAAAAAAAAAAAAAAAGCCTGAAAGAAATTAGAGGAAAAAACACATTACCTACAGAGGAACAAAGATAAAAACCACATCCATCTTGCCCTCAGAAATCATGCAAGCAAGAAGAGAGTGAAATGAAATATTTAAAGTGTTGAAAGAAAAAAAACCCACCAAACTAGAATTCTGTACCTTGAGAAATTATCCTTCAAAAGTAAAGAACAAATAAAGACTTTCTCAGACAAACAAAAACTGAGGGAATTTGTTGCCAGCAGATCAGCCTTGCAAGAAATGTTAAAAGAAGTTCTGTAGAGAGAAGAAAAATGATGTAGGTCAGAAACTCAGATCTATTAAAGAAAGGAAGAACATCAAAGAGGGAATAAGTGAGGGTAAAATAAAAATTTTCCCTAATTGACCTAACAGATAAAAGTTTGTTCAAAAGAACAGCAACAGTGTTTTCGACTATGTGTGCTCATGTCTATACCTTGTGTCCATACAAACGTGCCTGTATGTGCTTACGTATAACTGAAATGCACGACAGCGATGATTCAAGGGATAAGAGGGAGGATTAGGATTATTTTGTTGCATAAGGCACTCACACTGCCCAGGAAGCAATAAGCAATTCAGGGTTATTTAAAGGCGAACTTGGGTTAGTTGTAAGAGTACATGGCAAACTCTAGGGCAACCACTAAAAAAAAGTAAAAATAATAAAAATAAAAGTAAAAGCACAACTGATGTGCTAAGAATGAAGAGAAAATGGAATTATGGAAAATGCTCAACATAACCACAGAAGACAGAAAAAAGAATGGAAGACACTCTTCCCACCATCTTTCCGTGCAGCCATAATGGTGTGCATGAGTGTCCTGGCAGATGCTCTCAAGAGCATTAACGATGCTGAAAAGAGAGGCAAACACCAGGTTCTTATTAGGCCATGCTCCAAAGTCATCGTCTGGTTTCTCACTGTGATGATGAAGCATGGTTACATTGGTGAATTTGAAATCATTGATGATCACAGAGCAGGGAAAATTGTTGTGAACCTCACAAGCAGGTTAAACAAGTGTGGAGTCATCAGCCCCAGATTTGATGTACAACTGAAAGATCTAGAAAAATGGCAGAATAACCTGCCCCCATCCTGCCAGTTTGTTTTCACTGTACTGACAACCTCAGCTGGCATCATGGACCACGAAGAAGCAAGACGAAAACACACAGGAGGGAAAATCCTGGGATTCTTTTTCTAGGGATGTAATACATACGTGCAAATAATATGCCTCAATGGAAAAAAAAAAAAAAAGAATGGAGGACAAAAGTAGGTATAAGAAAGGGATAACAAATAGAAAACAATAATATGGTAGATATTAATCCAACTATATCAAAAATCACTTTGAATGTCAATGGTCTAAATACACCAATTAAAAAACAGATTGTTGGGGCGCCTGGGTGGCTCAGATGGTTAAGCGTCTGCCTTCAGTTCAGGTCATGATCCCAGGGTCCTGGGATTGAGCCCCGCATCGGGCTCCCTGCTCAGCGGGAAGCCTGCTTCTCCCTCTCCCACTCCCCCTGCTTGTGTTCTCTCTCTCACTGTTTCTCTCTCTCTCTGTCAAATAAATAAATAAATATTAAAAAAATAAAAATAAATAAAAAACGTTGTCAGAGTAGATCAAAAACAAAACCTAACTATATGTTGTCTACAAGATACCCACTTTAAATATAAAGATACATACAGATTAAAAGTAAATGGATGGGGGCGCCTGGGTGGCTCAGTTGGTTAAGTGTCTGCCTTTGGCTTGGGTCATAGTCCCAGAGTACTGGGATCAAGCCCCACATAGGGTTCCCTGCTCTGCAGGGAGCCTGCTTCTCCCTCTCCCTCTGCCTGCAGCTCCCCCTTCTTGCTCTCTCTCTCTGTCAAGTAAATGAATAAAAACCTTAAAAAAAAAAAAGTAAATGGATGAAGAGTTAATTTATCTCAAGTTTCTAGGGCAATGCCTCACCCTGAGGAAGAATTCAATAATATAATTAACATATTTTTAAAAATATATTCAATATATATTTATTTAATGTAAACATTTGGAAGAGTTAAAGAATTGATCATATCTTAAGACATTAAGAACATCTCAATAGATTCTAAAAATTACACAATGTAAAACATTCTCTGGCTACAGTGCAATAAGTAACCAATAACTTTTTTTTTTAATTGGTAAAATTTAAACATCCTCTCCCCACCACCTAACCCTAATTCTAACCCTAGACATCTTATCTTATGAAGGTGGAGAGCTGGTTGATTATTGGTGATGGTGTTTCTCTTGCCATGGAAACATGAGAAATTTTCCCTGTTTCTTTTTTAAGCAAGATAGTTGGTCTTAAAGTCCTTGAGTTCTGGGTTTCCCTGACTAGAAATAAGGCTAACTGTGTTTTGTGAGATGCATTCAGGGAAATGAGTTTTGCTTGGAGAGTAATAGAAGAAGGTGACCCTTCTTGGAAAGACTATTTGATTCCATAAATTAAGGCTTGGGGGCTTCTATAGGACTTGGTTGTGGGCAGGGTCCTTGGCCCTCAGTTAGGAACCAAGCGCCATGGGTTTTGGAGTTTCAACCAGGATCTGCAAGACCAAATATAATGTTGAGGGTGTGGAAGCTACCATTAGAAGTTGCCTTCTAATAAAATATTTTACAGTCATCTACTATTACATAATAAACTATCCCCAAACTTTAAATTGTTGTTGACTTAAGACAAAAATCATTTTACTATATTGCACGCTTCTGTGGGTCTGGAATGTGAGTAGGGATCAGCTGGGTGATTCTTCTGTTCCATGTGGGTTTGACAAAAATGACTCTGGTATTCAGTTGGCAGATGGGCTGGCCTGGAGGGTCCCAGGATGGCTTCATGTGCATGAAGACTCATGCACACATGCCTGGACAAGGATGGCTGAAGAACAAGTATAGCTAGGTGTATTGAGTACAGCACCACGCGTGACCTCCCAGCATGTGATGTCAGTGTAACCAGACATTGTACCTGATGGTTCAGGACTCCAGGAGTGAATAAGGCAAAAGCAGCATGGTCTTTTATAATCTAAGCCCACACGTCACCTCATGTCACTTCTACTATTGACTGGTAAAAACCATCACAAGCCAGCCCAGATAAAAGCAAAGGCACATACCCCCAGCTCTGACTGGTGCCAACAACTTAACAGCCACTGTTTGAAACCATCGCAACTACATAGACATGGGCTTAGACCACTGGGAACATCCAAAAGGGACTGAAAACCGGGGGCCCTTCTCCAATTTCAGGAACTGCATAAGCCACCAGAATTCATATATAACATGCCTAATGGAAACAGAGCCAGAAGGAGGCTGACTGTGGCTTAGTTATATGTTTTTAATTACATTAAGAAAATATCAACTCTTATTTTACTAAAGCTTTAAAAATGTTACATATTTAAAACAGATTTATTCACTTAAAAAGTAAAATGTTCTACAAAGCTGAAAAAAAAATCTCTTGCTCACTGTATTAGTTTTCTATTGGCTTCTGTAAGACATACCACAAATTCAGTGGCTTCGAACAACAGATATTTATTATATTACAGTTCTGTAGGTCAGAGTCTGGCACAGGCCTTGCTATGCTATCATCTTAACGTCCACAGGGCACTTCCTTTCTGGAGGCTCTAGGGGAGAATCGGTTTCCTTTTTTTTCAGGTAGTTGGCAACATTTAGTCCTTCAGTTTGTAGAACTGAGGTCCCTGTTTCTTTGATGAGGGTTGTTCCTGACTCTTAGAGGCCACCCATGTTCCTAGGGTCATGACCACTCCTGTGGTCACATCTCTCTCTCTCTCCTCTCTGACCTCAAACGTTCATGTGATTGGATTCACTTAAATAATCCAGGATAATCTCCCAATCTCAAAATACTTAATTAAATCACATCTGCAAAGTCCCTTTTGCCATGCTACTTAACATAGTCATGTTTTCTGGGGATCAGGACAGGAGCATCTTTGGGAGGTTCTGCCTACCACAATCACTACTCTCCATCCAATTTCAAAGTCTTTTTTTGTTATATTACCAGTGTATAGCACAATTTCTGGATTTTCTTTTTTAATTTAAGCCTTAACATTAAGATAATGAATTAACTCTTTAATGTGCCCACACATTCACACACACATACATATTCCTCCTTCCCTCATCCTCCCCCTCAAAAAAAGTTTTACCACAATTTTTGGTTAAATCATTATCCCCCTGTTTACATTATTATAAGCAAGTAAAATTTTTTTTTTAAGATTTTATTTATTTATTTGAGAGAGAGAGAACACAAGCCTGGGGAGACCCAGAGGGAGGGCAGACTCTCTGCTGAGCAGGGAGCCCAACGTGGGGCTCGATCCCAGGACGCC